AAAAACAAAACAAACAAAAAAAAGTGCTATTTATTCATATTCCACAAAGTAAAGAAAATTAATAATATTCTTATTCGTGCTTTTAAGCATTGCATAGAATAGCTGGTTCGCTTGTACAACCATCTTTAAATTTTTTTACTGTGAGAGAGTTTCTCTTTGTGGGTTATATATTTAACGCTTTATTTTTTCACGGTGTTGTGGTTTTGTATATTGTTTAAGAGTCATGTAAATTCGCTTTAGTAGACAGGCATTAGACCAGCTAATTACAATCGAAGTACCTCAGTTTTCAGCTGTTTACCATCACACCCCAGGCTATAGAAATCTCCGTAGGTTTGTATAAGATACACAGGTGTGTTTTAATTAAAACCTAGTTATTAAAATTATATCTAAATTGATTTAAATATTTAAAAGATGATTATATCAGCGAATATTTCAAACGCCTGTAAGTGTTTCATATGAAACTTAAAATGTAGCAAACATCTGTTTTATCATCAACGTGACGATATGAAATTCCGACTGGCCAAATAAAATCGGTTGCAGTTACAAGTGCTGCAGTAGTTCTGATCATTTTCTTACACTTATGAAATAGCATATGTTCAAGGCCATTGACATCGTTATTCAAAAATCTACAAAACAAAGTGTTTCCCTTAAGTGTTATCGAGTAAATATTCATACAATATACGCAGATTTATTTAAAGATAACTTTACATTTAACTATTTATTGTGTATACTTCCAAATAATATACTAGGTGTACTTCCGCGGGGTACTCGAAAGTGTTCTGTTTCAAGAGCAAATAAAACCAAAATTAAAAGTAATAAATATTTTTGTTTCTTGCTTTGGAAGTTCATATGTCATGCTGTATTATAGCCTACAAATGAATCTTGCACCTTTTGAACCGCGGGGTACTCGAAAGTGTTCTGTTTCAAGAGCAAATAAAACCAAAATTAAGAGTAATAAATATTTTTGTTTCTTGCTTTGGAAGTTCATATGTCATGTTGTATTATATCCTACAAATGAACCTTGCACCTTTTGAACCGTAGATGTACTATGCAAGCAATGGCAAAATCTGATAGAATAAAGTGATCACATTATTCTACCACCAAGAACTGACCGTGGGTACTATTGATTAGCTGTTTTCTATCTAGTTTATCAGTTCACTACGCTAAACGTATTTCCAGTACAATTTATTCAAGTTTCTCCGTAAATAACGATATTTCACAAAACCTCAGGCATTTGTAGTACAATATATACAGTTAGGTTTCTACATCATATGTTGAAGAATCCATATATGCAATGCACATCCAGTAAAAGTTAAAAAAGTAAAGAATCATATTTTCAAACAAGAAAGTAAATGTAGGGATCGCTAATATAAAACAATGCAAACAAGAT